TTCCGGCTTTTCCCCAAGCCGGGAAAAAAGCGGCGGACATGTTTATTTAAATCCCGCGGGGGATATTTAAATCCCCCGCGGATTTCCCTATTCCAAAGTTGGAAATTAGCATGGCTATTTCGTAATAGGGGCCAGTCTACACGTAGCCCATAAATATGAGCTCTCCATTCCCTGTTTAGGGGCAGGATGGGCCACCATTGGGTTACTGCCCTGGACACAAGTCAGACTGGATGCTTGTTCAGTCCCAGTGGTGGACAAGCTGGCTGGCTAGATCTAGAACCAAAGGGCCTTTGATTTTTGGGAGTGGTTCTAGTTAGGTTTAGGGGACAAGTTCTCTGCACAACAGGTAGAAGAGTGAAACACCAGAGTCCAAACATGAAGCACTGTTACTTGCCAATTATAAAGATGACCACTAGTCAGACAGGGGCCTCGAGGCCTGTGCCAGATGGTGCTGCTTCAGCCACAAGTCTCTCGCCATCTGAGGTTTTTGTTCTCCCCCTCCTGTCACTGCCCCCCAAAAAAGTACAGCTGTAGCACCATTTCATAATGTGTCCCTGACTGAAACACGACAAAACAGTCTTGTGAAGATGTTCCCCCCTATTGCAGATGGTACTTGAAGCCTGGTGTTAAGCGTTAAGCCAGCTCACCGAAGGTACTATAATCTAGCATTTAAAAAGCTCAAAACACTGACCATGTGATGTGAGAACACCACATGCCACTGTGACTCAAGCCATGGACAGTGAGAAGAAATGGTGGCAGAGGAGATCAGGGCAGTGCTGCCCTTAAATACCTGGGGAAGGGCCACAGGACATGAGCCCTGCTCCTACAAGCAGGGCTCATGCTTAGTCCCTAGCCCCTATGGTCTAGGAACTAGGCAAAGTTTTCTAGCTTTGATGTGTTCGGCACATACACAGGATACATTGCATTTACTCAAATACCTTATAGCACATCCTTATGGGCAGATGGGAAATGTTGACACATTAGGAAACTTGTATTTTTTGCTAATTCTACTTGCATATGTACAGTAGGCCTAACTACATCTAAATAATGAATTCTTCTGAAACTAATTCTTTCCTCTGAAACAGACTTCAGGATTCATAAAATTGTGTGTAAACTAGTAGGAAGCTATCCCTTTAGTAAATTTTCATCAGAGGAAACATGCCATACATTGTTGGCATGATGGTCACTTTTATTTAGTGCAACTCTGTTTCAAAAGATATTGACGTTAAAGTGTGTGGCAGTAGATGCTATGGACATGTCTAAAACATATCTTTTTTTAATAGAATATCCACGTGTGCCTGGGTGGCTTGTTCGTACCTGAGGCTTACATTACTGCTACAAGACAATATGTGGCTCAAGCAAACAGCTGGTCCCTGGAAGAACTTTGTCTAGAAGTCAATGTTACAACTACTCAGAATGCAGTCCTGGATGCCTGCAGTTTTGGAGTTACAGGTTAGCTAGTGTGCTTTTTACAAGGAGGAAGGGAAGTAAATAGGTGCTATTAGCCTATAACTCTGGGAATTTATCTTTAAAAATGTTGATATACACTATATCAAATTGCTAACTCCCTTGGTGTTAGGTATCAGAATGAAAATTACATTTTAGGCAACTGCACTAAAAGTAACATTTGGAAATTAATGTCTATCAGGATTTCTTCATTGGAGAATTTTGCTATGCAAGTGCCTAGCATTTGAGAATCCTTTTGAATAAATATCAGTAGTAGGGCAAAAAACATTAGCCAACCTGTTCGAGTTAGCATGTCGGTGACTTTTTTATTCCTCTAATAGCCTTCCCTGTTGCCTTTTCTGGAGTATTTTTGATCTGTATAAATTAGGGCTCCTATTTTAACAGTAGGTCTATACATCAGTTACCTCACTTTAGATGGGTGAAGCTACCTCTGGACTTGAAAATGGAGTGGAGAAGGAAACTTCCTTTTTAAGTGTACATACCCTTCACTTTCAGGAAAGACCTCAAATTTTCATACTTCCTAACTTACAGGTTTGAAGCTTCAGGGAGCTACATGCAGTAACAACAAACTGTCCCTTTCAAATGCAATATCAACTATATTGCCCATAACACAGCTTCGCTGGATCAAGCAGACAAATGCTGACAAAAAGGCTAATGTGGTAAGTAATGTGAAGATAAATGTGTTGTCATTCTGTGACTCCTTCAAGTAGTGGCTATTCTACTTTCTGTGGAGCCTTATAATAAAAATGGGGCTGCACTTGTTTCTATTCCATTGGGCTATGTCTACACTGTGCTGGTTTTGCGCAGGAAATATGCAAATGAGGCTGTGTGGAATATTGCTGAGCCTCATTTGCATAATTGAGTGGCCGCTTTTTGCACAAGAGGCTTTTGAGCAAAAAGGAGCCATCTACACGGCTCCTTCTTGCACAAAAACTCCCTCTTGCACAAGAGCCATTTTGCCTGAAAATAAGCAGCAGCAGAATGGCTCTTGCACAAGAAAGGGTTTTTGTGCAAGAAAAAGCAGTGTAGACTGCTCCTTTTTGCGCAAAAGCCCCTTGTGCAAAAATGGTGGTTCATTAAGTATGCAAATGAGGCAGTGATATTCCTTGCCGTGCCTCATTTGCATATTGTGCAAAACTAGCGCAGTGTAGACATAGCTTTAGTCTTACGTTTTGTAGTACCACAGATGTTCCTTTCCAATAGTTTTCAACCCTGGGGGTTATAGTTCCTCGGAGCCTTGCAAACAGATCCAATATTGCTAGTACCCTCAGCCAGCCATAAAGAGGGTATCAAGAAATTAGAACTCATCTAGTATTTCGTCTTGGAATGGAGAAGTCTGAACAAAGCCTTAGAAACGTGTTATAACAAGTTCACTTTAGCCTGACAAACTGAGAGTTCTTTCTTACAAATATGTTCGTTCGTTTGGTTGGGGGAGGGCGAGCAGAGTCTAATGTGGACAAATGTCTCTTTACATAACTTCCAGTGGTGGGGGAACATTTCATCTTTTCCCCTTGACTCTCGTATCTTGCATTCAACTATCTTATCCACAATTTAATCAGTGCCTAACTTTTTTTCAGGTTACATTACCAGTCTATCTGAACTTCACGCGTGCTGATCTGATCTTCACTGTTGACTTTGAAATTGCCACCAAGGAAGATCCTCGCAGTTTCTATGAACGTGGTGTTGCAGTCCTCTGCACAGAGTAACAAGACAATGTTTTCTAAATGATACACAATTTTACTACTATTTAATCTGCAGTGTTAGTCACCAAGGCATGGGGAAGTTGTCAGGATGGTTGACACAAAGTTGACTTGCTAGAAGCTGGTGTACTTAAAGTGATACTGATAGTGTGAGAGGAAAATTGGATGTGGTTTTTAGATGGTTCTAATTACATGTGCTTAATGCTTGATGGTCTATACTACATTAAATACATTCTGTAGCATTATTGGTGGTGGTTTATTTCCTTTCTAAAAGCCTTATTCTTGTCATGACTTGCTCTAGAGAATTACTTTCATTAATGCTTTTAAATGTTCAAGATGAAACATCGGTTATTTAATAATGAACTATGCTAACCCACTAAGAAACCAGTTTTACCATTTATGGCACTTGCAGCTCTCCTGTATAAATCACATGTAACCTGAAACAAGAATACAAAAGCCAAAATTAATTCAGTGCAACAAGTTGAAATTGAACAGATTCTCCTTTTTAAAAGGTAAGGGTGATGTCATGTTAATGTTACTATTACAGTAAACTTCCGATAATCCGGCACCTTTAGGACCCAGGGGGTGCTGGATTATCAGATATGCCGGACTATAGGAAGGGGGGGCTATGAGGGGTCTGGGGTAGAGTGTGGGGGATGCACCCCACAGTGCTGCGGGACCAACCCAGCAGCACCCCAGCTGCTCTGCCCCAGGCGTCCCCAAGTCAGCTGCTGCTGAAACTGACCAGCGGCTGACTTCAGGAAGCCCGGGGCAGAGCAGCTCCAATTGTCCAGCTGCCCAGAGCACTTCCGGGTTCCATTGGATGCCGGACCACTGGAGTTTTACTGTACTCTGAAGCAGTGTTGCTTAATCTGCATGGAATAGATAGAAACTACCTTCATGTTCACCTGAGCACTGCCCTATACAGAGAATGTTAACTTAGAAAAGTTTCATCACCCCCAGTGATACTTCACGTTTCCAATGTTCTAGTTACCATATCTTTCCATTAATATATACATTCTTGCAAACACCTGAATGTACATATTACTGGGATTTTTTAAATGGGTATTTCATCTGAGAGCATCATTGACATAAGAAAATAGCCCTACCAAAAATTAGTATGGTGAATACCTTGAGGTGTCCAGCTTCCAATTGCATATGCTGAAGATGGTGGTTTTACTCTGTTCATTCTTTAAAGGGAGACACAGCTGACAAACCCAACAATCTGACCCATGCAGAATAGTTTCGGTTACACCAGGGTTGGGTAATTCTTGATGAGGAACTCCAAAAATATCGTAAGTGGTCAAGGGCTGCACTCTTCCATGATATTGATGGAGGAGTGCAGGGTCTGGGATGAAAGTTGGGTGCAAAAGGGAGATTTGGAGTCAGGAGGGGGTGGGGATCTGGAAGGGACTTTGGGTAAGGAGTGGGTTGTGACCTTGGGTATGGAGTGCAGGGGTTTGGGTTATGACCTGGGGCAAAGGATTGGGGTGCAGGGTCTGGGAGAGGATTCAGACCTGGAGGAGGGGTGCAGGAGGGGAATGCAAGGTCTGGGAAGAGGTTGTGACTGAGGGAGGGGAGGTAAGTGGGGGGACAGGTGGTTGGGGGGAGGGAGGGAATGTTGTGCTAGAGGCAGGCTATGGCTAGGAGGCACTTTTCTGGGTGGCTCCCAGCCAGCAGCCCACCAGGTTCCTCAGCCAGGCTCCCTGCCTTTCATGCCCCTGCATACCATTTCCTCAGCCAGGCTCCCTGCCTTCCATGCCCCTGCATACCACTCAGAGCAGCTGTGTGGATCATGTGCTGCTCTGAACACTGCAGGCCCAGAGGGGTAGGAGTACTTTGTGCATGGCCTGTCCTGCAAACAGGCAGTTGGCCAGTGGGACCTGAGATTGTACGGGGGGCAGCGGTAGCATGCAAAACCTTCCCACCACCTCCCCCTTCAACCTCCCCTCCAAGTATTCAGATAAGTTGGCCAGTGGGACCTGAGATTGTACTGGGGGCAGGGGTAGCATGCAAAACCTCCCCTCCAAGTATTCAGATGCTCTCACATGGCCTCAGCAGGGCAGGGCTGAGGCTTCTGCATGCACCAGGCTGAATCTGGTGACTTGGCAAGGCTGTATTTTGCCCATCCCTGTCCTATTCCCACGTTAAACAGGAAACATTCCGAGCCCCCACCTAGGCGCATAGAATGGGAATCAACTCATGCAGCTATAGCTTTGTTCATGATGACCCCTCAAGACTAGCATTAAATAGCTTTCAGTTTTTGCTGATTATTTTACTGGAGGATGTGCATCTAACCTAGACAATGGATTGAAATGTATGGCCCTTGCTTTCAGGGTCATTTGATGTGTGCAAGCCCAGATGTATCAATCAGGGAAGTAACCCAGACTCTCTATCTCTCCTGCATGTCATATCTGTAATAGTGTGTCAAAGGGCTTAACTTTCCCTGTTTGATTCACTTTAACTTCATGAGACTACACTGCATAGCAGAAGCTTTTCCTCAGTTGCTTAAGTGGTTCTTTCCCAGTTTGGGACTCCAGACTTAATTCAGGAGTGTAGGTTTCACAGGCTATTTCCTTACACAGATTTTCTTTGTAGATGGTTTTAAAACTACACCTTGATTTTTTTTTTAATTGTGGGTTTTATTTGTATTTTTACCTTTTAGTAAGAGAAAAAGCTTCCCTGCATTGCCCTCTATGGGCTTCAGGCTTGTCTTGTAGGATGACAAGTAAAGG